AATCTCAGACCCCTCATCATCAAATGATACCTTCATACCTGTGCCCACAACTAATTGGGACACGCTGATGAGATTGTGTTGCAATCCTTCCACGTAGGCCACTTTCCTTATTGAGAAGTCTCCATTGGTTATCATACCATATCCCTTAATCGTTCCATAGGAATTGTTTCCATACTTTACAGAACCACCATCTTTCAGGGACCGAAACTCCCTTAGCTCTTCCTTCCTCCCTGTCATGTGACGTGAGCAGCCACTATCTATATACCATTCGTCGTCAAACTGCTCGTCACTTATTACCTGCAAATTCAAGCAGATTTAGGAACCCAAAGTTTCTTGGGTCCTTGTGAGTTTTTCACAAAGAAGGGAATAACAGAAGAAATATCAACCAAATATGTTCGTTTAATAAGAGTTGTTTGATCTTTTCTTTTAATGGTATACACCTTGATTTTAGTTTTATCTTCTTTAAATTTTGGTGTATCAGTTGGTGTTGTTTTTGATGGTTTAGGATTTTTCTTTTGATTCCTAGGGTTAGTAGGGGATTTCTTATTTTCCAACTCAGATTCTGGTACTAACTTTCCCTTTCCTTTGATGTCCTTCAAAGAATTTGTGTTGCCTTTATGCTTGGAGGAACTGAAACTTGGTTTAGGACCAAAACTGGGTTTAGGACCGAAACTGGGTTTAGGACCGAAACTGGATTGGGAACCGAAACTAGACTTTCGGTTCTGGGACTTGGAATAGTAAGAACTTGGACTGAAATTTTCCTTCAATTTCTCTTTTCCTTTGTCCATTGTTCCTTTCTTGGGAGGTTCAAAGTTGGAGTTTTGTGAATTCCAATGCCTTTTTCGTTCATTCAGATTCTTGGCATATCTTTGATTTCTCATGCGTTTCTGTTCAGCTAGCTCCTTCTGAGATTTGTGGATATTGAAGCTGGCCTTTGGCTTCTCCTTTTGAATTTCGTTTGTCTTACCTGCCATTTTAGATTCTGCACTGTTCTTAGTTTGAACTTTCGGTGCTTCTTCCCTCTTGAGTAGAACTTTCGGTTCTTCTTCCCTCTTGAGTAGAACTTTCGGTTCTTCAGGGATGTCTTTGGTTCCACTTGTGCTCGGTTTGTCGAAACTTGAGGGTTTGTTGATTGGTTCTGGAATGTATCTTCCTCTAACCCTCCACGTAGTCTGTTCGGACAGGCCTACGGTTTCGTCTGCGTTATCAATAGGAGCAGACCAGAAGTAGTCTTCGCATCCTTCAGCGTTATCTTTGTCGACCAAGATCCTTAATTCTGCTGTTTGCCTTTGAGTGACTCCGGTAACTGCATAAACCTGATTTGGCACAGTCTGAACCTTTTGATAGACCATGGCCTTTTCCTTGAGTTTCGATTTCTGTTCTTTTGACAGAAGAGCAAATTCAACCGAGTTTTCTGATATTAGTGGTTTTTTCATTCTCGGTTTCACTTTTCATAAATTTTAGAGCAGTCAACTTCATCCTCTACTGAGATTTCACTCATCTCGCTTTCCGCATCAAATTCAGACGAATTATCTAAGTTTATTTTATTTTCATTTACAAGTTTGGCGTTTGACAGATCGAATGTTTGAATAGTTTCAGATTTAATTTTTAGCCTATCATTTTCATCTAAGATATCTTTTAGCATGCTTTTGTGTTCCTTAGAATCGATGAAGGTTTCTATCTTTTCCAGACCTAGCCTATAAGATATGGATGTCTCTTCAAAGGACACTTATGATTCACATTCTGCTATGATCTCATCTTCCTTAAATTCAAGAAAGGGCAATATCATTTTATGAATTTTCTTTCCAATTTCATAGCTTAAATGTAATTGAGCAATATTAGTATAAAGACGCTTAGCAATTAAACAGAAAACATTTCTTTGTTTTAAAAACTTTAAATTGTCTATTTGCAAATAAATACTTTCGTCCCTAGCTCTAACTAACTCCGCTTCCTTCAGCTCTATCCACATTCTTCTTTCCTCACATTTTGAAGACACCCTGCTGAGTTGGTCAGTTAGGTTAGAATTCGCTAAGCGAGTTTGCATGAGGCTACTACTTAGGTTAGAAAATTTAAAGTTTAATTCATTTAATTCTTCTTGATAATCAGTTTTTGAAATTTTAAGAGTTTCAAGAATAGATTGTACCTTTTGGATCAATCGATCGCAGTCGTTGATCTTCTCACTCACCGGCTTGGCCGCAAAACACTTGTTCTCGATCAGGTTCAGTTCCTTGTTTGCACTTTCGGTTGATGGACCAGCAGTGACAACAAAACACTTTCCAGCTGAACCTTCTTCCTTCACCACATAAGCCTTTCCATGAGTGGGCCTTCTAACCTCTTTGTCTTCAGAGTCGGTTGACCAAACTTCTACGCCACCGAACTCATCTTCCCCAGCATTCTCCTGTACAATTAAGGCATTCATTGAGCTGTTAGTCGCCTTTTTCTTCTTGACTTCTTCTAATTTGCGCATATAGTACGCCTCATCATCTTCACCCTCTCTCTTCTCAGCCATCTTTCTTAACATGCAATCTTTGGCAAAATGGTTCTTGCCATGACAGTAGTTGCAGTCGTATCCAGAGTCTCCTGCAAGCTTGCTTTCCTTTTTCTCTTCATCCTTTTGAGAGGAGACTTTCGGTTCATCCTTCATCTTCTCAGAACTATAACTTCCCTGCCAGTTTCGATTCTTGCTAATAGGAAATTTTCTCCTTGCAAACTTCTTTGGATTTGTGACCATCAAGGCATACTCCTCACTTGTAAGGTCACACTCAGACATATCTGACTCTTCTTCTTCTTCTGCAATACTTTTTCCTTTAGAGACAAGAGCCAACGTTCCCACACCAGAGATCACTTTCGCTTCCTTGGTTACCACACTTTCATGGGACTTTAGTATCCCCACTAGTTTCGCCAGCGAGTACGACTTGAACTGTTCATGTGCTTTCACAGTGGAAACTACAGCCATCCATTCTGGTCTCAGCCCGTTCATGAACGTCACTTTCTGCTCGATCAGCTTCCTCTCTATCCCATGATTGATCATCTTACTTAGGAGATGATTGAACCGATCAAAAGTCTGTATAAGCTTCTCTTCAGGTTTTTGTTCAAAAACTCCAAATTCTGACAGTAACAGAGTTTGAATGGAGTGTTACAGATCTTCATCAGTTGAGTAAAGTTCCTTCAACCTATCCCAGATCTCTTTAGCAGTTGTGCATGAACCTACTAGCCGGAAGGTGTCAGATTGCAAGGCGAATCTTATCATTCGCATGGCTTTCACGTTACACAAGAGCTTATCCTTCTCATCCTGTGGCATCTTCTCTACATCTGTCACCAGCTTGTTGTAATCCGTTTGAGACTTAACAGTCGTGTTTGTTCCCGAATGTATAAACGGTCCAAGAGTGATAGCTTCCCAGATGAGATAGCCATTGTCTTCAGATCCAACCACGTAGTCTTCAAAGTGATGAGCCCATACTTCGTACTCTTGAGTATAGAGTATGGGTACTCTAGTTGTAGATCCAATGCTGTTTGATATGTTGATGGGGTTTGTATGTGAATCATCGTGAGACATGATGAGCTGCTAGAATCAAACCTGTAATCTTTGAGATTAGGGTTTTATCAGAAACAGAGCAGTCGTCGATATGGAGAAGACGACTTCTATTTATATGATAAAAGCGGAAACCCTAAAGTATTCTGAATACAGAAGGAATGTGTATTGATCACACAGTCTCCCGCTCTGATACCAATTGTTAGAACTAAGTTCTTTTAGGATCGTATGATTCTATGCAAGCTATAGATTATGATCGTAATAAAGAACACAAGAATGGCACTGAATACGTCGTATGATTAATGCTTTAACACCTCAGAAGAGCTCGATAAAGAACTTCAACTGTAGAGGTGTTTAGGGTTACAAGTAATCAACGTGATGATCAACTCTTGATATACGCATACATGCATGCATATTTATAGTATAACCCTAATAGCTAATCTAGATAACAACGAAACTAATCTAGATAATCACGGATGGACATGCCCAATCCGGATACAAAACTTATGGCCCAAGACGCAACACAAATGGACTCAACACATTCAGTATCGAACACTTCTAAAAGACAATGGACGGTCCACTCTAAGAGATTGTCAAACAAGAGTATCTCAGGGAGTTTCCTCCTGAAATTTCGGTTAGTGACTTTTTTGTGGGAGATACTGTGGATGCAAACCACAAGGATGGGTAGTGGACGAGCAAGATTTTGTAGAAAGTACGAACAAAATGCTTGGTGTATTATCAATATTCAAATGAAAATTTTGTTCTCAATAGAAATGTTTAGGCTCCACGAAGAATGGGACAATGATGTTTGGGTTTATTCCAAGATACAGTCTTTGGTGTTGCTGTCATCATGGAGATGTTTTTGAACCTATTTTCCTTGTGTTTTTTTTACCAATTTGTCATTGTGTTCTTTTGAACAATGTATGCTTTGAACCTTATGTGGTTTTGAAACAATTTATGTTTTTGAACCTAGTATATTAGTTTTATTATTATAAAATAATGTGTTTTAGATGTAGGTGAAGTGATTGTGTGATGATGTTATTGTCAATGCATTGAAATGGTTGTGTGATGATGTTATTGTCAGTGCATTTTGATTTTTCAAGAAGTGATGACAATGATGGCGGTCGATTGGTTGTGGTGGTTGTGTGGATGTTGTTGTGGAGGTTTTTAGGCCAAAGTGTCTTGTGTATAAATTAGAGATTTTACAAAAATAGTCTTTGTATAACATTTTTTTTTGTTTATGTGGTATAAGGGCAATATTGCCAATTTTTTTTAAATTTAACAGCCATTGGGTTAACCTTGTTAAGTCTGAGGACCAATGGTGTTACCAAACATCGCAATAAGGACCATCCATGATCAAAGCAAAATACTATGACCAAAACTGATGATTTGAGAAAACTAAAGGGACCAAAGCTGTATTTTACTCTAAAATAAATTCTATTGATGTATTCTACGAAGCGAGGGTTCATCTGAGGTTTTGGTCTTCTCTCCATCAACTGAACTCACTACCTCTGTTCTTGAAGATTGTAAAGTTGCTTTCCACCTAATCATTCCCTCACAAACACACACACACGTGATTTCATTACTCGTGTTCATGGATGTTCTGAAGCCATTATCCACTCAAAACCCTCAAATCTTCTATGGCTCATCACTTTCCTCTATCCGTAATTCTATCAAAGTTTATAGAAGCAAAGACCCACCAAATTTCAGAAGGCCATTCTTCAAATTCCGTCTTAACACATCTCCAATTTTATTAAATTTCCCACTTCAGAGCTCGAGAAATTTCAGAGTTTCAGTTCGTTTCGACAGACCAACCAAGCGCAGGAAAAATCATTTAAGGGAAAAGCTCATTGAAGAACAGGTACGTCTGAATCCTTCAATTAATCATGATCCAAGTTCTAAACTTGAAAACCCCGTTCGTAAAATTGATGATATCAATGATTCCGTATCAAATTTGGTGAATTTCAACGATGATGTTGATTATCCGGTGCCAGTTCCTGATAACAGTAAGGTATCCGACAGTACAGACGCTTTGAAATCCAACAATGTTTTGTGGGATCAGTTGGATAGTTGGGCTAGTCAGTACAAGGCTGATACAGAGTTTTGGGGTATTGGGTCTAATCCTATATTTACTGTTTTACAAGATTCCAGTGGTAAAATAGAGAAGGTAGATGTTAATGAAGATGAAATCTTAAGAAGAAACCAAATCGAGCCATCAATTTATAACCTGAAAGAGGTAGAACATGTAAAACAAGTGCAAGACAAGATTTCCCATGCCAAGTTTTTAGCTAAAGAGATGGAGATTGGAAAAACTGTGCTTCCACCAAATAGTTCAGTGGCAAAATTTGTAAATTCTGGTGAGAAATCGGGCTTTCTTGGTACAATTCAAAGTTTTACTAGTAAACCTGGTTTTCTTCCCAAATTTTCTAAAGTTGGTGTATCAATATTTTGTGGGTTTCTCGTGTTTTTGGCTTTGAAGGGAGTTTTTGGCAAAGAAAAGGGAGATAAAGAAGAGTATTCTAGTTTAGAGAAAGAGATGTTGAGAAGAAAAATAAAAGCTAGGTCTGTTAAAGAGAAATCAATAAAGGGCAGTGTGGAAGTAATTCAAGATTCTAAAAAGCCTGAAATGGTGTTTACAGAAAGGCCAAGGGTAGATAAGGAAGAGCTTATGAATAGCATTGTGAAGGTGAAGTCATTGAATGATAATTCTTTTGATTTTGATGACAAAATCGAAGAAATTAGAGCAATGGCAAGACATGCAAGAGAAATTGAGAAAACAGATAGTAACAAAAGTAACGAGGACAATAATGAAAGTATAAACAATGAACCAAATGAAAAGGAAGTGAACCGTATTGAACCCACATTTCTTGATAATCCAGAGAAGGGTAATATAGTAAATTCCGATGTTTTAAAGTTGGAAGTCCCAAATAACAATGGAAGTGTTGCACAAGGTGTAGATACAGAAAAAGCTGAGAAGAAATCAGTAAGGATTCTTAGTTCTGTCAAAGAAGCAAGAGAATATCTTGATAAGAAAAAACTTGACAAGAAAGAGAAGGGTAATATAGGAAATCCCGATGTTCCAAAGATTGCTAATGATGGTGAAATTCCTATGGCTTCAAAGATTGGTGAAGAAGATGAGAAATCAGAATGTGTAAAAGGTAGCAATGAAAAGGTGAAGGAATTAGGAAGAACGGATCGTGAGAAGTGGATGGAGGATAATTTCCATGAATTTAAGCCAATAGTTGAGAAGATCAGAGGTGGATTTAGAGAAAACTACATGGTAGCTAGAGAGAAAGTGAAAGAAGATGTGAATCTAATCTTAGAGCTGAAAATGCTTGAAAATGATGAAAATGAAAGTGAATTTGAATGGATGAAAGATGAGAAACTTAAAGAAATTGTGTTCCAAGTAAGAGAAAATGAGCTTATGGGTCGAGATCCGTTTTATCTAATGGATAGTGAAGATAAAGACTTGTTTTTTAAAGGTCTTGAGAAGAAAGTTGAAAAAGAAAATGAGAAATTACGTGTTCTTCATGAGTATGTTCATTCAAATATTGAAAATCTTGATTATGGTGCAGGTAATTGACTTAGATACCCTTTTGTTATGTCAATTTGGATTCTTTTCTTAAAGGGTTCAACAGGCTGAAAACCATGATCCAATTATCTTTGTCTACATTTGGGCACTCCTGGATTTCCTTTTTGTACATCTAGGGTCCTTCAAAATTTTAAATTTGTATCAAATACACTTTAAGTGTGATCTCTTTTAACTAGTTTTTTTTTCCTTATATGTAAATATGGACAACAAATAAAAATCTTAAAAGTTTATCGTTTTGACATGAAGGTAAGATCAATACAACAAAATGACATTAGGGACCTTGATGGACAAAAATAATCTGGAGTGACCAAATGTAGACAATGAATAGTTGGTTGCCAATGTATAATTTTGTTATTAATATATAATTTTTTGTATACTCGTATAATTATATAAATTTTATGATTTCTGTCTATTAATTTAAATAAGGTCAAATCTTTTTATTTATTTGCTTATTATAATATCAACATTGTACTTTAAAAAAAGTTACCCAGTTATACGAATACTAATTTAAATACAAAAACAATTTTCATTGTTATAACCGGGTAGATTCTTCAAATCACAACGGCTACAATTTATCATCATATGGGCTTAAAAGCTTAAACTATACAAATGCATAAAAATAGTCTTAAGCTTTATAAATGGTAACAATAAAAAAAACCTCACACTTATAAACTTAGAGATATGATAAAAATATGGATCATGCTTATAGATATATAAATATAATAATCTTTACATATTGAAAAAAAAAATGCCAACATCTAAAAGCTTAAAGATTGAAATAATTGAGTTTATAATGTCTCCACACTTAAAACTGCCAAGATTTAGACAAGTTGACAACACCCTTAATTTTGAACTCTTGTAATGAGTTTCTCCATATATAAATATAGAAGTTTACAAACAAATTTTCACACCATCCTTAGAATTCTATTAATAATACAATCATATATTTAACACCCAAGTATTCGATGTCCATATTTGGTCACTCTGGAATTCTTTGTCCATTTGGTGTCCCTAAAATCTTTCTAATTGTATTTGATTATACAATGGTGTATTCGGTAAAAAATTTAAAACAAATCTGGAGTAACCAGATGTTGATGCAATGAATAGTTGGATGGCAGATTTCAACCTAATACTTGATTCATAAAAGCAAGTTTATAATTCTTCTTTTCCTTGTTTAATATGCAAAATTTTCTACTATTTTCTTTGATAAAAAAAAAAAAAAAAAAAGTGTTATCCTAAACATAATTTTATGTTACTTTGTTTAGATGGCATTAGTTTGTATGATCCTCCAGAAAAGGTGATACCCAGATGGAAGGGTCCCCCACCATCTACAACAATCACCCAAGAATTCCTTGATCACTATTTAGATCAAAGGAAAGCACTTTTTGCTGAAACCTTAGGAGGGGGGAATTCAAATCTTGTAAACATCGATACACAAAACTCACTTCAACCTCAAGGTGCTAATGAAAAAGATGAAAAGGAGGGTATTTTGGGAAGTTCAAAAACCGTAATAGAAGGTAGTGATGGGTCTATTAAACCTGGGAAAAAATCCGGGAAAGAGTTTTGGCAACACACAAAGAAATGGTCACGTGGATTTATAGATTCTTATAATGCTGAAAATGATCCCGAAACTAAAGCTGTTATGAAAGATATTGGAAAAGATTTGGATAGATGGATCACAGAGAAAGAGATACAAGATGTTGCTGATATAATGGATAAAGTTCCTGAAAAGGGTAAAAAAGTCATTTCAGAAAAAATCAATAAGTTGAAGAGAGAAATGGAGTTATTTGGCCCACAAGCTGTTGTGAGCAAGTACAGTGAGTATGGAGATGATGAGGAAGAAATAGATTATTATTGGTGGCTTGATCTTCCATTTCTACTGGTAATATTATAATACACTTAGTATATATTTTCTAAATTATATTTAAAAAGAATTATTGTTTTATCTAATTCAAATTTTTTGCAGTGTATTGAGTTATACATTGATGGAGATGAAGATGAAAGAATTGGATTCTATTCATTGGAGATGGCATCGGATCTTGAATTAGATCCAAAACCGCATCATATTATTGCTTTTGAGGATGCGGGTGATTGCAAGAATCTTTGTTATATTATACAAGCTCATATGGAAATGATTGGAAATGGGAATGCATTTGTTGTGCCACAATTGCCTAAGGTTAGTATAGTCAAAGTCAAACTAGTCGTTTATTTTATAGTGCAAAATGACCAAAATGTCCTTGTTTTTGTATGTAGGATACGTATCGTGAAGCAAAGGCAAATGGTTTTAATATGACGGTTATAAGAAAAGGGGAGCTAAAAATGGATGTGGATCAAACATTGGAAGAGGTGGAGGAAAAAATTGAGGAGATTGGAAGCAAAATGTACCATGATAAAATCATGAAGGGTCGAAATGTAAATGTTGATTCGGTAATGAAAGGTGTTTTTGGACTAAAGAAACCGACCAAAAGGTGAGTATATTTCTTTGAGCATTTGGTATTCGATGTGTTTAATATTTTAATAATTTTTTCTTATTTTTTTTTAGACGAAGATCAAGAAAGAAGTTAAGGAGGCCAACTATATGATGCTTGTTTGTGATGTTGAACCAAGTTTGACTTTAGTGTTGTTAGAGTGGTCCTCATGTGTTTGCCTTAACAGTAAGGAAGTGAGAATCTATGAGCGATGGTCTTAGTTGTCAGGTTTCTAGTGGGACACTGTGATTCATCTTCTCATGTTGGATGTGGGACCGGTTGGTGGTTGGTGAGACGTGAGAAAGGTCATGTATACTTATTTTTTTGTTACAACAGTATTATGCCATCCACGGAAATATGAGGTATCGTGGTTATATGTAATTTACTTATGGCGTCTTATCACGATGTGTCAGGTGTTTACTTTGATGTGGGTCAGGTGTTCAACTAAGAGTGTTGGCAGAGCTTTGTGTTTTATCTTTATAACTTCGAGCATCTCTAATGGTAAACATATAATTTAATATTTTTGCTGCCTCATATTCTAAATTTTTAACCCCAATTAAATGACTTCTCTAGTGGTTAAGCTTTTTCAATAGATTTTTTATGAATTTAATTTATTAATCTTATCTATCTAAAATGTTCCATAACCCTTCTTTTTTAGTCGGTCGTTTTTTAAACATATTATACTTTAATATGAAATATTTTAATAAGGTTATCATTAGAATTAGTATATAAACATTCCATAAATGAAAAATTACGATAGAAATAATCAATTAGTTAAAGAAATATAAAAGATTTTGAACCAAAATATGATTGGTTTTTTTTTTTTTTTTGGGGGGGGGGGGGGGGGGGGGTGGGGGGTAAAAAGGATTAGGATATGATTATACTTGAATGATGCGTCGGGATGGATTGACGATGGATTGTATGATTATATGAATGATTATATGAATATGTTTGGATAGGGCTCTGCTATTCAGAAATAAAACAACTATTTCAACAGAGGAAGAACTTTGAGATCAACTCAAGTCTTAAACACTCAAACTTAACTTGTCTATTCCATATGGGCAAAGGCCCTATTTATAGGCTCAAAGGAGCCGAGTACAATAATTGAGTTGCAATCGTTTGATTGCAATATGACAAACCTATTTACATTATAGCCCCCTATACTATTGAGGGACTTACACACTTTATGTTACATCAAATAATATAATACACACTTAATAATTATTCTATCTAAACTTCCTACCGACACATAAATTATATAAACAATAACAAATCCTTTCCATATTGAAAGGCCACATGTCTTCAATAATGTGTCTTTAATAATAATGGCTTTTTATGTCATTGCTTACGTCATTCCTCCCGCCTCCGAAAAGACATATTTTTGAATAATGTTTGCTTGTGTCATGGCTGACGTTAATCTTCCATGAATGGTGCCTCTTTCATAATCGAGTAGGAATGTTTTTAACTGTTTCTCTATGATGGCTTCCATTCTCTTGTCAATGTGTCTGCTATATGATTGTTGGCGCTTTTGATATACTTGAGATATGGATGAAATTGATGTAATTGTAATTGCCACCGGATCAATCGTCCTCGACAGTAATCTTCTTGTAACTTATACCGCCAAAAGCCAAGTAGATACTTGGAATCTGTGCGTAATTCGAATCTGGTTTGAAGTAGCTCGACTTTCCATTTTTTCAATGTTCTGAGACATGCTAGTGTTTCTCGTTCATGTGTGCTGTAATTTTGCTCCGTTTGGGAAAATGTTCCCGATATATACTTGCATAGTTTTTGCTCGTATTTATCTGTTTTTAATACTTCAGATGATACATCTGTATCAGTGTATGCTTTTGGTGATATTTTCATATCACTGTATACTTTATCATTGTTTACTTCGGATGGTATTTTCATACCAATGTATGCTTTATCATTGTATACTTTTGATGAGTTAGATATGAGGTTTCCCTCACTATCTAGACCCAATAATACTTTTCCACGTATAATTGCTTTTAGGCATCCTGCCCAAGTGTCTTGTGATGCATCTGTTTCTACAATTAGGAAATCGTCGATTTTTGCATTATATAAAGTAGGGAGAACTTGAATCTTTTGTTTTATATTTTGTACCAAAATAGTATCTGTATTGGTCCAAGACCAAGGTATTTTTTCTGATATTTTCTTTTGTAAAACTTTTCTTTCTTTTGCTAAATTTTTTCAAAAATCCTTGTTCTGCAATATAATTTAAACAACCAAGAAATCGTTGTATTTGTTTTCTATTTTCAAGTTTATCAGGAAACATATTTAATTTTTCGCGTATATTGTCTGTTAATGATAATTGACCATTTTCTCCAATTTTTAAACCAAGATATTCAACTGTAGATTGAAAAAGTTTTGATTTCTTTTTTGATAAAACTAAACCCTTTTCTTTAATTCTTTGTAAAACCTTGATGACTGCATCAATGTGTGTTTGTTCGTTTCCTTTTGTAAAGACAATTATATCATCAATATATGCAAGACAAATATGATCTAAACCATTTAAGGTTTCATCCATGAATCGCTGATATATTGCTGGTGCCTGTTTTAAACCGAATGGAAGAACATTCCATTCATAATGCTTCTGAGGAGGACATGAGAAAGCGGTTAGTGGTTTCGTATTTTCATGTAAGCGTAATTGCCAATATCCGGATTTTGCATCAAATGTACTAAAATGTGTATTTCCTTTTATTTTTTCTAAAATATATTCTTTTCGTGGTAATTTATATGAATCTTCTATAGTAGCATCATTCATCTTTTTATAATTAATTACCATTCTTCGTTTGCCTCGTTTTATTTCATTATTATTTTCTACATAGAATGCAGGTGCAGAATGAGGACTCTTGCTAGGTCGAATGATTCCTTTTTCTAATAGTTCAGTGCATTCCTGTTTAAATTCAGAAACATCTTTTATACTATATGGAATTTTATTTGGAACATTTATTTCATCATTAGGGTTTTTTAATAATATTATTATTTCTTGATTATTTTTATTTTTTAAATGATCTAGTGGATTTTCACTGCATACTTCTTCAAGTTGTTTTTCAGCAATTTCTTTAGCAAATGTTAGTAGTATGCGTAATTGAAAGCCAACCTCTTGTTTGATTATTTTAATAAGATCATAATGTTTGATAATTGCAGTTTTTATAATACCTTTTGTTGGATAATTGAGACTTATATCGTCATTTGTTTGTATAAATGGTTGATATAATTTAAGGAAATTATTTCCTATAACTAAATCTATTCCTGAATCATGTTGATATATAGTTGGAGTTTTAAATGGTGTTTTTTCAATTACTATATCTATATCTCTTCCTACGAACCAAATTTTGTGAATTGATTTATCAGCAATTGTAATCTTTAATGGTTTTTCTAATTTTTCCCAATTTTTTTTTTTAATATCTTTTTTCTTCCAAAACATAAAGTAGCTCCTGTATCTATATATGAAACTAATTCTTTATCTTGTATTTTGGTTGTAATAAATGTACTATTTGGGTTAATATTTGTTTTTCTTTTACTCATTTTAGGATTAGTTTATAAATTTCTTTTAATTGATGTTTTTTCTTGTAATCTAGATATCTTTTTTAATTGATTATTATATTCATTATTTACTGGTTGTAATTCTAATAAATAGTTTTCTTCATATGATAAAGTATTTTCTAAATGTTTAATGGTATTAGAGATATTAGAATTTATTTTCCAATGGTTTTTTTTTAATATATTAGTCCAAAGCATGTTATCTTTTGAAGAATTAATTTGTACTTTTGAATTCATTTTAACAAATTACTAAGGTATCTGAAAGAAAATTAATTGAATTGTTAATATTTTTTATTACTATTTTTAAATGATTAACTTCAATTTTTAATCTTCCAATTTTAACTAATTGATATGCAGTATGATTTTTGTTTTTATAAATTAGTTCGTGTACTTCAGATTCTTTTTCTTTTAAATGTTTTGTGGATTTTTCTAAATCTTTCCATAATTTTTTAAGTAGATCAACTTTATATTTATTATCGTAACTACAATATACTTGAGTTTTATTACTCATAATTTTTATTTTACCATGTGAAAGGTCGTTTAATAGTAAATGGTTTTTCTTTAAGTAGCTGTTTTTTCATTAAGTGGTTCTTCTTTAATAGTTTTTATTTTTAAATATTTTTCAAGTAGATTTTTCTGTTGAGTTAAATTCTGTAATAATTCAGGAATTTGTTTTAATACAATTAAACTTTCTACTTCTATAATATTATTTAATTTTTGATTAATTATGTTTAATTTTTCTCCTATTGATTTATCTTCTTCAGGATTAAGACCGATGTTATATATTGTTCCTTGTGGTAAATTTTGCGGTATTTCTATAATCATTTCTTTATCTGGTATACATGGTTTTGTATTTTGATATGATCCTTCAAGTATTTTAAAATATTTTAGAGAATTACTAGATGATTCTGTCATATTCTTAAACTTAATGATCTAATCATTTCTTTAATATCTTCTAGCTTTTCATCGTTATTTTCATTAGATGTTGAAGGCTGACATTCTGAAATAGAAGATCTACCTATTATAGTTGAAAATGGAGGTTCTATAATTGGACTTCTTTTTATTAACGGAGTAGTTATTATTGGTTGAAAATTAGTTTCGTTGAATATTCTATTATTAGTCATATTTGGTGATTCAAGGGATAATAAAGGGGTGAATAATTTATCTATATAAATTATATCTTCTGTTTTAAATGTAATACTATGATGAGAATTTGTTAATGCATAATTTATTTGATATGTAATAGTAAATGGATGATTACCTTTTATCATAAAATTTTGTCTTAATAATTTATATCGTACAGTAATACTATTACTTAAATTTTTATCTTTAAGACTTAATCCTAATTAAATATTAATATCAAATTTTATTTTTCCTTCAATTAAGTTACCTTCTCCTTTTGCAATAATACTTTCTTGGTTATTAATTATACGATCATCTCTGATTTCTAATTCTATTGGTGTATTTAGATTACTTACAGTACTTTTTAAAATTATTTGAATAGTTGATATATGAATATAAGCAATTTTTATTCTATCTGTTTCTTTAATATGAGATAATCTATTTCTAATTTGTTGTTTATTTATTATGGGTATAGTAATATTTCCTTGAGTTAATTCTATAGGTATTGCTTGTTCTCCTATAATTTTTCCATAATATATAATATTTTTTCTAGAAAAGAAATTTTTAAATGTGTTATATCTAAAATTGTGTCTTTCGGATAGTGTGAAATTTGATTTTCTTATAGCGTCTTTATTGATGTTATTTTTATTAATTAAAGCATCAAAAGTGTATCCAGATTCATTTTCTTCGTTATTAATAACTATTGGTGAGTTTTCTATTTCCTGAGACATTTTTATAGTATTAAATCTTCTTACGATAAATATTTTAATTGTTGATAATTTTTTTTAAATATGAATATTTAAAAACAATGGTTATTC